GAAGCTGTCCCATATGGGGATTGGAGGTGATACCGTACGCAGAGGAGGCTTCTTCTGTGTATTTGAACTTGAGGGCAGTGGTGGTCCAGTGGTAGTATTTTCGCCGTCCCTGCGGAGAAACCCAGTTGCATTCCCAACTAATGCAACTCAGTCAAGTGTAGCCGCCGCCACTGTGAGTCACTTCGTGGTTTGCAGGGTTCCAGTGACACTGCTTGTGCAGTGGTTAAAACAATTCACTGGGAACGGAGAAAGGTCAGCCGTGAAGATGGACCACCACTGTAAAGGTTTAAAGCAAAGGGGAAAAAACCAAAGCGGTCTTATGTGACTTTGAATTGAATGGAAGGCAATCGTTTAGGTTTGGGGATTATGCTCTTTCCTCAGTGGCGCTTCAGACTAAGGCATATTGGGAAGAAAGGCCCGACAATACATTTCCCCAAAATAGGCCAACGAAAACCCTATGAGGAAAATTCTTTCAGTCACAGCTGACCTCTCCTGGTGCCATGGCGTTGATATTAGTTGACTTTTAAGGGCAGCTAAGAGCAACAGCTCTTAATAGACACAGTGAATAGACCTTTGTTTTCTCCTAGTGAAGACTATTCAATGTACTCTGGACCACTAGAACCCACCAATTACAGCTAGAATGCTTTTTAAAAGTGAGGATGGCAGCAACAGGACACATGCGTGCCCTAGATCAGCAAGCTAAAGCGTATAAATTAATTTACATATCAAAAGAAGGAATTGGCTAGAGAGTGAGTGAAGTGGAAGGGAGGCAAAAAAGAGGAAGGTCCTCAACAAAATGGATGGACACAGTGGCTGCATCGGTGGGCTCAGGCACAGGAACAATTGTGCGGATGGCCCAGGGCTATGCAGTGTTTTGATCTGTTGTGCATAGGGTCGCTGTAGGTCGGAGCTGACTTGATGGCACCTAACAACAATGAGCAACAGCAAGAACCCTGGTGGCATAGTGGTTACACATTAGACTGCTAGCCGCAAGGTCAGCAGTTCAAAACCACTAGTCATTCAATGGGAGAAAGATGGGACTTTCTCATGTTAAGAATTACAGTCTCAGAAACACAGGCAGTTCAACCCTGTGCTGGGGTCACTAGGAGTCAGTGTCAAATGATGGCAGTGAATGAGTGAGTGAAGAGCATAGCAATGTCCGTGTCTACTTGAGCCAACGGATGCACGAATAAAGCCAAGGAGAGTAAAGACCTTGTTACAGAAGAGAGAAAAAACGAGAGCCTGTTTTTTGCTTTCAAATTAATTGGCTTAAGAAATGAGTCTCATAGATGCAGCAAGCTAAATAAAGTGTGTAAGTGAATTTACATATCAAAAGTAGGAGATGGATTCAGTGAATAAAGGTCTTTCCGTTCAGTCCACTAGCGAAGAATATTCAATCGACCTTGGACCATGAAACAAATCTGTCTTGGAAGAATTACAGCTAGAATGCTTTCTAGAAGTGAAGATGGTAAGACTTCATCTTTGGACATGTTGTCAGGAGAGGCCAGTCCCTGGAAAAAGAACTCATGTGTGGTCAAGTAGAGGAATCAGTGAAAAAGAGGAAGACACTCCATTGGGCTGTGTTTGAACCCAGGAATAATTGTAGCAAGAAGCAGCTCCAGACAGTGTTTGATTCTGTTGCACGGGAGTCCCTGTGACTGAGTGGGACCTAAACAGTAAATCAGAACAGCCAACAGCCACCTCGTTAGGAGAATAACTTCATTGCTTTGGTTTCCCTTGCCCTTCTTGTCTTTTCTGGGTAGTTTTATTCTTGCTTCGTGGGTCCTCCCTGACTTTTTCCTTTTTCTTCTTTGGCTTCCGAGCAGGGTATCTGGGACCAAAGCAGGACAAGTCTGGGCACCTGAAGGATCTACTGCCTTCAAGTGTCTGCTCTCCGCAAGGTTATGTGCTGCTCTCCTGAGCAACATCTCAGACTGTGATGAAACATTCAACTACTGGGAACCAGTAGGTGATTTCTGTAAACTTCCTTTCCCCACCCCACCCCCACCTCCCCTTCCTCGATTTGACTGTTTGGAACCTTGTTACCAAACAAAATAACCAGAGTTGTAACTAATAGTTAAAGAACTTAATTTTCACTAAAGTAATGGTTTGCCTGTTATTGAAGGATGCAGGTAGTTTGACTGGTTTACTTGGATAGGTAATGTATAGTAAAAACCCAAAACAACAAAAAAAAACCACACACATTTAAAAAAAATCTAAAATAATATTTGAAGATAGCTTTTTTTCTACCCCCCAAGTTTTATTGCCAAGTAATTTACATATCATATAATTCAATAGTTCAATCACATCACAGAGCACCCCCCCCATGGTTAAATTGCCTTAAGATGATTTATGCAATCACAATCTGTTCTAGTGCTCCCTCCCCTCTCCCATCGTCATTAATTACTCCCCAAATCCCTTTTCCCTCCCTATCTCACCCCCTACACCCCCTGCTCCCCCGTGAGGATAGTTTTTGAGGTTAATAACTACTTCAAAACTGACAAGAGAAACAGCTCTTTAATCTGCTCCTTATATCCAAGTCACATGCCACAGAGACAGCCACTTTCTTCACTCTTTTAGCTTTCTTCTAATATTTACCTAAATCAGGAATGCTGCCAAATAATATTCTTATCCCTCTCGTTCTGGATTTATACATGTTAGACTTCGTCTGTCCTACTATAGGAAAATCAGAGATAAACTTTTCTGATTATCTTTTATGTTCACAAAAAATAGCCAACAGAAGAAGGCTTTTTGGAGTTAGTGTAAAAAATATAAGATGTAGAGTTTCTATATTTTGGCTAGTGACAATTTAAAAAATTTTAAGTAGAGGGTAAGAGTCAAGCTTTCATTGTCAACGAAACAGTAGTCTTGTAGAATGGATACTGCCCTCATATTTTTCAATATTGGGTAATTTTGATCTTTTTTTATCCCTTAGTTGCAAATCTTGCTGAGAGTATCAACATTTTTGTATACCTTTGCCTCTATAACATTTCTACTTGGAAACTTAACATTCACCTTGACAAGGATTTTTGGTCAGTGACCCATCATCTGTTTTGTCCTTGTAGACACACTACCTCATCTATGGGACTGGATTCCAGACTTGGGAATATTCCCCAGTTTATGCCATTCGCTCATATGCTTACCTGTTGCTTCATGCCTGGCCAGCTGCATTTCATGCAAGAATTCTCCAGACTAATAAGGTAAGGGCAGCCAACATGGAAAAAAAAAAATTGATCAGGAGAGAAGTCTTTGGAACTGTTTTGAGAATAAAACAAAGTTTTGGTAATTAGGAGGGGACTTTTATTGAAAGAGTCATTTACTGATTCACCTATCACTCGATATTATTTGGGCAACTTTTATTTGCTGGACACTGTATTAAGTGCTATGGATTTAACCTAGTGTCTACCTTCATGGAAACAATGTGAAGGGGAAAATAAACATTGAGCAAGTGCTGATAAGTGTGGTGGGTCTTATGGAAACAATGTGTAATGGGGTCGCATATTAGTACTTTGGACATGTTATCAGGAGGCACCAGTCTCAGGACAAGGACATCATGCTTGGCAAAGTAGTGAATCAGTGAATAAAAGAAAGGCTTCAACAAGGTGGACTGGCACAGTGGCCGCAACAATGGGCTTAAACATAACAGTGGTGAAGATGGCACCAATGGGCAGCATTATATTGTAAGAATTTTTCCACTGCCCGCATGGTCATATATTTTAATATCCATAAAAAAGAGTAAAAGAGCATAATTTACTGAATCATTTCCTGATATCCAACTTAAAAAAAAAATCTTTTTATTGGGGGCTCATACAACTCTTACCACCATCCATCCATCCATTGTGTCAAGCACATTTGTACATTTGTTGCCATCATCATTCTCAAAACATTTTCTTTCTGCTTGAGCCCTTGGTATCAGCTCCTCATTTTCCCCCCTCTCTCCCTCATCTACCCTCCCTCATGAACCCTTTATAATTTATAAATTATTATTATTTTTTTCATGTCTTATACTGCGTGATGTCTCCCTTCACCCACTTTTCTGTTGTCTGTCCTCCAGGGATGGGGTTATATGTAGATCGTTATGATCAGTTCCCACTTTCTCCCCCACCTTCCCCTTCCCCTCCTGGTATAACGATTCTCATTTTTGGTCCTGAGTGGTTATCTGTCCTGGATTCCCTGTGTTTCCAGCTCTTATCTGGACCCATGTACATCCTCTGGTCTAGCCAGATTTGTAAGGTAGAACTGGGGTCATGATAGTGGGTATGGGTGGAGGAAGCACTGAAGAACTAGAGGAAAGTTGTATGTTTCATCAGTGCTACACTGCACCCTGACTGGCTCGTCTCGTTCCTGCACCCCTAATTCCAACATTTTTTTTTTTTTAATATCCAACATTTTATACTTAACATTTTCCTCTTAAGATTTATAGTGCTGCAATTACGTTTTTTATGAAAAGAACTTTTTCCCCATCCATATTTTAACTTAACTTCTATGGACTGGTGTTATAGAAATACATATAACTAATATAAAGATATGAATATTTTCACAGTTCTTGTTACGCTTTTCAAGATGTTAATAGTTTCTAATGTCATTAATAAAAATTACAGTGTTTTCATTTTGAAGAGTTTTTTGTTTGTTTGTTTGAACTTATATCTGACTCCTATTTTCTTATTCTGGGTTTTTTTCAGATTCTTGTCTTCTACTTTTTGCGATGCCTCCTGGCTTTTGTCAGCTGTATTTGTGAACTTTATTTTTATAAGTGAGTAAAAATCTTGGCTTCTGAAAGTGTGACGAGGAAACCCCATAAAGCATAGATTATCTCTCATAGTTTAGGCAATGATTAAAAATAGAAAATACCTTGCTTCTAGCTAATAGTATCTGTAGTGCAACTTCTTATTTGAAATAAACAGTCAGAGAGGAATATTTTGAGTTACCATTTTCTTTATTGATTTTTATAAATACTCGATCCTTATGTTATTAATTTAAATTCTGTTTATATTTAACTAGTTTTTGTTAGAATTTAGTAGTACTGGATTTTTTATTCTAAGATGCAGGATTATGATTTATCTAATTTCCTAGAGCTTAACCAGTAGGAAACTACAGACAGTCCAAGGTTATGGGCATCCAATTTATAGACAACTGCTTCTTGCCCTTTCAACTGGTCTGTCATGGCTGGTCAAGTGAAACACGAGTAGACCCAGATTTTACAATTTGACAGATTCCCCTCGGTACCCGGAACAGGAAAGATTATGGGTCAGAGCTATAGAATGGGAGACTTAGAAGAGGGCTGGTGAGCCTTTTCCGGAGAGACTGGATCCCTGGTGGGGCCTTTAGGAGAGTGACACACATTCTAAGGAGAACAGCCTGTAGGCCCAGTGTAGGATTCACTGCTCTTATTTGCTTTTAATAAATTGTCTTTTACAAAGTCATTATTGACCTTTATTGGAAGTATTGAGCATTTAAGTGTTCAATAAAGCCAGCTTTTTAATGTGACACTTAACATTTTACTTTAATAAGGCTCTATAAAGTATTTAGACCTAATAATCACTAAAAGTATTCCCACAAGGTCAGCCCCCAAAAGTCAGTCAGATTTTTATATATCAACAGTGAACATTCTGAAAGGGAAATTAAAGAAACAATTCTATCTATAATAGTATCTAGAAGAATAAAATTCCTGGGGAGGTGACAGACTTATGCACCGAAAACTATAAAACATTGCTAAAAGAAATGAAAGACAGCCTAAATAAATAGAAGAGCATTTGTGCTCATGGATTGGAAGATGTAATATTGTTAAGAGATCAGTTCTACTAAAAGGTCAGCCATTACTCTAAAGCAGTGTGTCCCAAAAGGAGACCTGGTGTCATAGTAGTTACATGTTGGGCTGTGATCCACAAGGTCTGCAGTTCAAAACAACCAGTGGCTCCCAGGGAGAAAGACAGGGCTTTCTGTCTCGGAAACTGACAGGGATGGTTCTACCCTGCCCTATAGGGTCACTATGAGTAGACATCCACTTGTTGACAATGAGTTTTTTGGGAAGAAATGGGGGTGTTTCCCAAAGTGGGCGATACTGCTCCCTGGAGAGGGCACTGGAAAAATCCAGGGGGGCTACAGAAGCAGATACCTACACTTCATCCTGGATTAAGGGTGATAGTACAAAAGTTTTTAATTGTGACGGGAGGGCATTGAAAAGGGTGGTAGGCCAACTAAGCTTGGGAATCAGTATGTAGGGAAACTAGAGCACTGGACATGGGACAATCTAAAGGCAATTGAAGAGCGCATTGATACCATGAAAAATGTAACTAAGGTCACTGAACAATTTCTATTGAAATTGTTAAATAGGAACCCAATTTGCTGTGTAAACTTTCACTGAAATCACAATAAAAAAATATATATTTTAAAAGAAACCTGGTGAAACTATGTAGACCACTAAAGACAAAGAGAATGCGTAAAGTTAATAGAGAACGAGCAGAATATCTACCAAAGTGTGTTAGGACCGAAGGCTTCTTCTGGCCAGGAGACAACAATATTTTCCGAGTGCTGAGATATAATGACTGTCATCTTGAAATGATAAACTCAACTGAAGCATCTGTTAAGAACAGGTGTAAATAGAGACCTTCAAACTGAACACAAACCAAGTAAATAGAACAGGATTTGCCATTAAAAGATCCACACTAAATGACCTTTAAAGGGATAGCTGCACGTAGGAAGTAACACAACTATGTCAGAAGGAAGTTTTGAAATGCAGTAAGGAGTGGGAATAAGAAAATTGTTAACACGCTTATACAAATATTGATCAACTGAACCAATATAGGTATCTACCCCAATTGGCACCAAGCCAACTGCTGTGGAGGCCATTCTGACGCAAAGCAACTAGAGGACGAAGTCGGACTGCGCATGGCAGCCCCAGAAACTTCTGCCGAGTTGGTATTACTTACTCCTTTTACAGTTGAGAAATCTGACAAATTATTTAACTAGTCCCAGGTCCTGCTCCTACTAAGAGACAGAGCTAGAATTTGAACCTGGGGCCATCTGAATTGAAGGTCTGTTGCTTATTCCACAAGGTAATACTGTGTTGCTATTGATAGTAGATGTAATTCTAGCACATAAAAATATATATAAACAAGCAGCCATCTAGCTCAGAAGCAACAAAGCCCACATGGAAGAAGCACACCAGCCTGTGTGATCATGAGGTGTTGAAGGGATCAGTTATCAGGCATCAAAGAACAAAAAATCATATCATTGTGTGCTCACCTCCATGATACAATTGCTGAAGACAAATG